GAGGATCTCTAATTTTAGGGTTTGTGAGAGAATTTGGGGATTTTCATCCAATTAGAGGTAGGGGTCTCTAATTCACACATTTCTTGCACTTTAGTGAGTTATTCTCCTATATTTATGGCTAAGCATGCTTAATTTAAGTTGATTGCTTGTTTAAATGATTTAATTGTGCATATGAAGAATGTATGTATATGTACTTGTTGATTTACATGGAAATCATGCTCAATTGTTGATTAATTGTGCCTATTGTGTTTGTTAAAATTGCTAGATGATGTGATGAGCAAGCATGATAATTTTGTGACGTTAAATTCCCCATTTTATAATATTATCAAAGCATGTATATGCATTCAAAGTATCGGGCATGAAAAATGGGTGAAGTAGTTTTTGAAAGGAACAGAAAGGGGAATTTTGGGAAAATATTTTGAGAAAACCCGGTCACCGCGGGGGTACCAAAGGGCCGGAGTGTTAATATAGCCTAGAGGGAACTAGGGAGATTGCCTTAGCGTGGTTGAGCTAGCGGCCCAAAATGATGCCGCGAGGGTACCAAGGGTCAGGGACACTAGCCAATCCTTCTCTCGTGTCGCTGCGGGGTCACCAAATGACGGGTTATATTAACATTTGCCAAGTGATGGATGATCTTTGGAAAAATATAAAAGGGGGAGTGACATACATGACATAGCATTCATGGCACGATATTTGTTTATTCGAATTTGGAATTAACATTGTATTTTTCGATTTAGTATGATCCCTATTCCTATTGTTCCATTCTTTGTTTGGATTCACGGAGCTGTAAGGGGTGTGCCTTAGACACTACCTACTGAGCAATTTGCTCACCCCATTATTTAACATTTTTCAGGAACCGGAAAAGACGTAGTAGATGCAGACCTTCCACAAGTATGAAGATGACTAGCAATCCACCTTATTACCTTTTATGTATTCCCATTCTTTTGTAAAATTCTATGTTCTAAAAAAGAGTATTCGTTTTGTAAAATCATGACCATGTAGCTATGAATTTTGATAACACTTTTGTATGTGGGAAACCTTGGTAGTATGTTGTAATGAATTGGAAAAAGAGTTATGCCTAGTTTTATCATTGAAGCCATTCAGTTGATTACAATTTGTTTTGACGACGTGAATTTGGAATTTGAGTCCATAACAGATTCAATATGGGTTTTGTGTGCACAGTGTATAGCTAGTATGCAGATTCCAGAGAATTGGGTTGCACTCCAGGGCTTTCCAGGTTCGGCCGCCCAAACCCCCTCCTCCAGCCGACCGAAACGCCCACAGTGAAAGTCCCGAGAGCCTGTAAACTTCTTCACCGTTTCAGCCGACCGACCATGTAGGTCAGCCGACCGATCATGCCTTGGCAGCCGGCCGATGAAGGCCTATCAGCCGGCTGACTGTCCCTTTTGACCTGAAATGTTGACCAACATTGTAAGCTTGCACCCTTGAGTATTCTAAGCTCCGGAGTGCGTCTTATGACAGGTTTGAACATAGGAAATGGAGTGTATGACCTAGTTGACCTCGGGTTTGGGCAAGGACCCGGTAACGGTCCGGATCTAAGGATTCGGGGCATCACATAACAAATGGGTGAATCTCCACCCTCCATGTGTCATCATGCTAAGCCTCCAAGTGGTTCCACCATAATGTCAACAAGTGGCTCCATAGGAGTGTGCCACTTGTCACACTTTTCAAAAATTGCAAAAAGGTCATTTTTTAAAATATCTTCCAAATTATTAAATGGTCCCTAAAATGAAAAATAATTACTTTATTTAATTACACCAAAACCCCAAAAGTCAAGAATGTTTCCAAAGAAACTATGCATCCATACCCTTTACAAGAAAAGTAAACATCTAGCATACTTTTCTACAAAAGTAAAAATACGTATTTCATAGAAATCAAATATCATGGATGAATGCAAAGCCAGTATCAAATCCAAGCAAAAAAAGTGAGGTTATGCAAACGAAAACGAAAACCGGGAAAAAGACGAAAATGGAAAAAAAAAAAAAAATGTCGAAAAAAGAAAGAAGGGAAATGACTAGGTCATTACATGATATGAATTGATATATTAAACTAACTATTTTTTTAAAAATATAGTTGGAATTTAGATGGGCAATCAACAATTAATTACTTAGATGGGGAGTATTAATTATGTAGTGTGTCATAAAAACTGAAATATTACACATATTAGGAAGATCACTTTGGTGTGGTCTCTTCAAATTTCACAATCTGAAAAAAGAAAAAATATATAATATATTAGATACATTCTTCAAATTTCATATATTTTATTATAAAAAGGTGAAAAATGTATAGAAACAGTAAAAAAAAGTCTTGTACTTTTATACGTAGTATATATTTAAAGATAATATAATTTTAAGATTTTTTATTTTTTAAAAAATAAAAAAAAATATTAAGAAATTAGACAGAGGCATCTTGCACTTTTATACATAGTATATATTTATAGATAATTTAATTTAGAAGGTAATAACTCTTAATTAACGTC